ATTTGTCTTTGCCTCGCATGGAACGGCTCTGAATCTCAATCCTTCTGACATAATTAGCAGGCCCATCCTGATCCTGCCCAGGAGTGAGGCCAGGCCGGGCCCAGGGAGGGCGGGGAGGAGGAGGAGGCGGATGCCAGGCCTACCGAGCATTCCCCTGGGAGCCTCCATCATCCGCCCTGGCCAGAGCGATGGGGAAGATTGGCAAAGCTGGTGACCTGTGGTGACATCCAGAGACACACTGACCTCACTGGAGTCTGTCTTCCCAGACACAGACAGACAACAGACAGACTCTACAGGGCTGGACTGGGAAGGTGATTCCGGGGGTGGCAGGTCCCCACCTTGACCACCGTTTGTGGGGACGTGAGCACAGCGGTAGACGAAGTGGCTGAGGGAGCACAAGCTGCGTCCATTGGATGGGGCTGTGGGAAGGGCCAGGACCCAGGACTTCCCGCAGCCCCACCCACCACCCCCGGAGCAGCAGCCTCACCCAGGGTGGGTCAGTGCCTGGCGTGTTTACGCTGACCCTCGCTCTTTGCCCTTCTCCGGAGAGAACATGCACTTTCACATCTGCCTTCAGACGCAATGGCGTGGCGGGGGCGTGCGGACTTAAAAGACCTCAGTGTTTATTCTACATGGACTTCTCCAGCTCAGAAATCAGGAACGTGCTTGCAAGAGGGTCACAGCTGAGGCTACTGTGGGTCTGTCCACCCTCCATCCCCCTCCTTTCTCCTACGGGCCTGGGGTCCCAGGAGCCACGACGAGGGCCACCTGCCCTGCCAAACAGGCCCTGAGCACCTGCCCTGGACGCTGCCTGCCCGAGCCTGCCGGGTCTGCAGGTTCGGAGTCCCTTCCCTGAGCCTGAATGCAGCTGCGGGTTCTCAGCTGTGGGCTCCCTGAGCAGACGGGGCCGGAAGCCTCGCTTCCGCTTCACAGGTCTGGAACCTGGGGCCTGCCCAGCTGTGCGGCCCCGGGGGCTGGGTTTCTCCCTCCTGGCTCGGGTTTCTCCCTCCTGGGCCAGTGTCTGTCCACTCTGCGCGAAGTCACAGGGCAGGGCCCAAGGACAGCCACGTGGCCATTCCTGCCACGCACTGGCCATTGTCAGGGTGCAAGCAGGCTGCTGGGTGCCATATCCCAGGCCTTCCTGTCTCAGAGTTCTTCCTGGTGGTTCTGTTGGCTCTGCCTGGGGGGACTGTCCTCTGGGATGAAGATCCCACCCCCACCTCCCAGTCACAGGGAGCCAGGCATCTTCACACCATGTCCAGAACTCCCTGTTCCTCCCCAGGCCCTGGACAGCTTCGCTTCTGGACAGCTTAAAATGGACTCGGCCAGCGCACCGCCGGCTGGAAGCGTGAGCCGAGCTCACGTGATCAGATCCCTCTCCTGCCTCCCCAGCCAGGACCCAGCACCGGGAAGTGGGATCTGAAATCTCCTCTGATTTAACAGGGTTGTGATGCCTAGGCCATGGCCGGATGGTTGTAGCAACACACGCTTTCACAGAACCAGGCAGACACCATGTGCTCAGCGTGGGTTGGGCCCTGGGGCAGCCAGGAGGACACTGGTGTGGAGGGAGGAGGCAGGGCCCTGTCCTTCAGGTGGAGGAAGGAATAAATGGTGGTTTTACCACCTGTAGGCAAGGTTGGCCACACACTTGTCTGAACTTAAAGATGTTTGAGATGTATATAATGTGATTAAGTGCTAACTGCAGACTATCCAGAACATTGAGAGAAGGAAAGGGGTGGCCATACTGGGACTTCTTTTCTTTTTATTAAATTATCTGTGTACATATTTTACCATTGCCCCCCCCAATACATACCCTCCCTCCCCAAGAACCCTTTCTTCAGATGACAGTTCATTCAGTGTATAGGACATGTGTACCCAGGGCTGGGCTGGTTGAAGGGGCTGGGCAGCCGGGCTTGCCCCTGGTATCCCCCCACTGCTAGCAGCCTCCCCGTGGCCCACCCAGGAAGCATGGTGCTCTCATGAAGCTGTGGCCCATCATGTGGGGCCAAGAGGGTCTCCCACCAGCCTGGGTGGCTCACCAGGGCTCTGCCAGCCTTCTCAGGCCGCTGTTTGAAGAATTGATCCACCCACACCGGCAGATGGGATGGAGGGGTAGTCCTGAGCACGGGCAGGCCTGGGGGCCTGATGGTCTTAGTCAGGAGAGCAGTGCTGTTGCTCCTGCAGAGAAGGCAAGATTGTTGGCTGATCGCTGTTGTAAGAAGGTGAAAAGGTGGGTTAGAGGTACGCCAGCAAGTGCACATCCCGACGTAGTGAAGTCTGTCCTGGAGGGGTGTGTATACAGCCCCCTTGGGGACACAGTCGGAGGGGAACATCTGGCTAGAACTTGGCCAGATGTTGGAGGGAAAAGGGTGAGTCCCAGCAGCCTGTCCTGCAGTTCAGGGAGCTGCTACTGTGCATCTGGGCAGTGCACAGCCCGCCCCCCGCCCCCCCCAGCCATGCGGAGGGGTGACGGGGTGAAAGGTGGCAAGCACAGGCATTTGCACTGATGTCATAGATGCTCGGGACAGGCTTGCTGTTGAGGAAGGTCTCACTGGCAGTGCTGCACGGCGACACCAAGGAAACCTCGGGAGCTAATCTGGAGTCTCCAGGATCTCGGAGTGAAAGGTCCGAGCAGCCCAGAGAGGATGTGCTTGGGTTGAGAAATTCTGCTCTGGGTCACTCATGCTGATGGAATGTCAGGAGCCTATGTTGGTGGCAGTCACTGTCACGCCAGCTCATTTCTGTTCCAAGCACGTGATTGGTCAGGTCTGCCACGGCCCCCTCCTGGCTCTCAGGGATGCAGGGAGCAGAAGGGGCAGGTTCCCTAGCAGAGGGAGATGCTGGAGAGGAGGCCAGCCTGGCCTGTCGGGGGATCCTGGGTGTTAGGGGAATGCTGCAGGGCTGGTCTACCCAGAAGCTGTCGGTGAACCAACCCATCCCAGACCTGCCCTGGGGACTCTGCCGGGAGGGACAGCCTTGACATGGACTTGAGCCTGGATATTTCCTCTTCCTCCAGGCGGGCTTTCACGCTTCACCCACATCTGCAGCTCCAGCCACTGCCCCCCGCCAGGCTTCTCCTCTTTTCCCCACTCCTCACTGTCTCCCATCTCACCCTCCTTTTTAACAATATACCAGCAAGAACCCTTCTCTGTTTTTTTCTGGCACTGAGTCTGATCCAAAAATCCAGCAGTTGAGTCTCTGGGCAAGTTGGCATTTGTAGCGCTACTGTTACCTCAAAGGCAGAAACTCTCCCGCGTCATGTTCCCTCAAGCACAGGCTCCCAGCGCCTGTGGAGTGTTGGCCCCTTGGAGATCTGGGAAAGGGGGGCAGGGGTGGGAGGGCCCACCGGGGTGCTGAGACCACACTCTGCTCAGGCCTGTGTGGGTCACGGTTTATGCCGTGGGGACCTTGTAGGTCAGCAGGCATCCTGAGGGCCTGGGAAAGCTCTCTGAGGGAGGTGGGGCTTATAGTCCGTCATGGGGAATGGATAGAAATGGAGAGGGGAGGCCATGTGCAGGTGGGGGGTGGCACCCTATGAGCAGGGTACCAGAGGCATGTGGCATGTTTGAGGAAACGTGAGAAGGAAAACTATGCTTGCCCAGATCCCAAAACCCCTCCTCTAAAAACCTCCTCTGGGGCACATTCCACCCTCTTCATTTTCTTATCAACAAGTCACAATCTGATTAAAACAAGGTATGAAGAGAAAGGATCAAAGTGAGGCCATCAAAGTCCTTTGTGAGCCTGGAGGCACAGGTCTCAGTAATTATGGGGGTAGGTGGGGGGGATGGGTGTGTCCCCTGAGTGAGGGCGGTCAGAGGGGAAAGTTCCCAGATGCACAGGGGCCAGCCCCTGCTGCACCCTTAGGTCCCAGGGATGCTCCTTCCCTAGATGCAGGACTGAGCTTCCATGAGGGCCTGTGTGCCCACCTCAGATGGACTGGCAGAACCACCCAGCAGCAGTCAAGCTCAGGGCCCGGCAGCCATGCTGGGAATAAAAGGGTTATTGTTCACCTCCCAGTGAGAAGCAGGAGTCTCAGTCTTGTCTGGGCCTCCATGGCTTCAGCCAGTCTGCTGGTGTGCATCCGTGTTGCGGGCAGTACCCGTGATAAGAATGTTGCCATACCCACTGGTAAATAGCCACTTAAACCTTCTAAGTGTCCCCAGCTCTCCCAACAACCAAAAGTCTAACCCCTGGCACTGCATGGTGTCCAGACCCCACCCAGTCCTGGTGGGCCAGTCTTCCGAAGGTCTCTGCTGTTGAGCCAGTTCTTTCCCTCAAGCCCCTCCGAGGGCCACATCCCCACACCATTCTTACACCAGAGGACTTCCGGTTTTCCGCTTGAAAGGGATTCTGTGTTAGCTCTCTCCCTTTGCATGGTAACTGTGTTCCCACATGGTGACTGGACAGGACCTCAAGGAGCTTTCATCCTGTTGACCAATGAAGAATTCTCTGATAAAATCAAATATGGGTATCCTCACGTATCCTGGATCAGGAAACAAAGTCTGTAATTCAATTGAGGAGATGCTAATTGAGCAGCTGGCAAGGTAGGAAGCAGGACTCTGCCCTTTAGTGACCTTAACTGGCCGAGCCTCTTTCTTTGACTCGGAGTTGCTTTCTGAGTCTGCCTCTCATACAAGGCCCCATTGTGGGCCTGTGCCACTTGTCAGATAGATAGCCACGTGGTCAATGAGGATGTGCAAACAAAACAGGACTAGTAAGCACACTTGGCAGTGTTTCGGAAGGTGGAGCAGGATAGGCTCTGATCAGGCAACAAGAGGATGAGCAGTGTGAATGCTGGCGAATGCAGAAGAGCGCTTTGTGCATTGGCACAGAGTATGGAGAAACTGAGGCACGGAGAGAGCTAGTGATCCGGGGGTGTAGCCGAGGCCACCATGTTTGTGGTCATTCTGCCTGCTGTGGTCTGGGGGCTGCTCTGGTAGAGCTGAGCCTCCTTAGGATCTCACCTAAGATGCTGATGCTGCTCTCTGTCCCTCCCACAGCCTGCTGTTCACCAAGGTGAAGCTGGAGCAGGTACTGAAAGGCCCAGAGGAAGCCCTCGTGACCTGCAGACAAATGCTGCGCCTCTGGCAGGCCCTGTACAACTTCTCCCAGCTGGGGTGAGTGGCTGACATTGTGCCTCTGGTTTGCCAGAGTTGACAGGCAGTGGTTGCCAGGGCAACCACCCACTGCAGAGTGGCCACATGCCAGGTGGATGGGGGCTGATGAGAATGTTTGAATGGGAGTGTGGGACTTGCTGCTCCTGGGGCCTTTCACATCCCTGGTCTAATTTTAACCCTGTGACAATCCTCTGTGAAGTACATAAAGAACCTATTTAGGAGACTGATGTTGAAAGGGGTTGGAAGCAAGAAAAATCATTTACTGAGCATCTGGGCTGGGTCCGGGGCTTACTGCTCCATCTTCCACATCCGCTGTTTATAGCTTAGACATCATCGGATTTTATTCTCATCCCAGAGGGGAAACTGAGTCTCATGGACCTGAGCCACTTGCCTGGTAGATGGTAGAGCTGCGGCTTGAACCTCAGTCTCCCGAGTCACAGCCAATGGAGCCTGGTTCCATTTGAAAGCCAGAAGAAGTGGAAGCAGAATCCTGAAAGAGCCCCCTCCCCCACACTTACCCACTATCTCTACACGTCCTGTCTCCACAGCCTGGGCTCTGGGTTTTTCCCAGGCCAGAGCAGGGCACTCTTGTCCAGGCTGAACCTGCAGAAAGTCTTTGTTCAAACCCACTGGGGTGCTGGGGTTCAACTGTGGCCCCTCAGTGGAAAAGCACGTATCATGCGGGTCAGTGCCTCTTCCTGGTCCTCTGGACCCCACCCCTTCCCCTTCTCGGGGACTGCTGGCTCTGTCATCTCCCAGGGCCTCAGGAAACCCAGCCCTAATGGATGTGTTTGCATCTTCCTGGGAACTCTGGGAGCCCAGAGGCTTGCACAGTCCCCAGAGGCAGTCTCTAGCAGTGGAATTTACAGAGGAGTCCCAGGGTAACCCCATGGAGTAAAACCCTTGGGCAGGGTGGGATCAGCCTTCTCCTTGCAGCCTTGGGGCCTGGAAAATTCCAGAGCAGAGCAGAGCAGGACCAATGGATGGAAGCTGCCAGAAGCAGGCTCTGGGGTGAGGGACTCTCCAGAAAGGAAATGGGGAGCTACCTTGATGATGTGAGGTGAGGGCCAGACTCTATTGTTCAGATGCACCTCACTCTGCAACCTACTGGCTGTGGCCGCTTGGCAGGTGCACAACCTGACTCCTACAGCCGCTGGAGCTGGCAGGAACGGCCTCTTAGCTGATGGCCTGTTGTCTGCTCATTCAGGCCTCTCGGCACCATAGCCTTGTCTCCAGGCACACAAGGCCCAGCCTGTGCTCCCCACTGGGCTGAAGGAAGGATTATGAGATTGCGGGTCGGTGGGGCTTGCCTTGGAGTTTTTTCAAGCCGCCACTGACCGACCCTCATCTGCTCTCTGAGGGCCTGGTAGGGCTCCTCCCCCTGGCCCCATTCTGGGGAACTTCAGGGTGGGGCAGGGCTCAGCCAGGGCGCTACCTGGAGACAAAAGGTTGGGACCGAGAGGCCTGGATCCAATACCCTTCAGGCTTTCCCAAGAACAGGAGACATTCTTTCCCAGCCTGGAGCCGCAGCCCAGAAACCGGGGCTTGTGAAATCCAGTTGGGGCAAGTAGGGATCAAGGCCAGAATCCACATCCCGAGGGTCTGTCCTACTCTGTCCCACCTCCTGCTTTGCCCCCTCCTGTCCACGCTGCCCCTCAGGCCCCGCTCAGATGCCCCTCCTTGGGGTGCCTCATCCTTCCACTCAGCCCTCTCCATCTGGGTCGTGCTGACTGCTCAGCCTCGGCTTTCTCTTCTCCCCATCTAGCTGCCAGATGCTTTAGGGCAGGAGCAAAGCTGTGTATTGGCCTAGAACCAAGTGGCAAAAGGTGCCCAAAGTGGGCTGTTTCTGGAGCCCTGGCAGAGGCCCCCTCAGGGCTGGGAGGGCAGGTGGGCAAGAAGCTGGATTGTGGATCTGCTCCACGCCAGCGGGTGCTGGGCGCCTGCCCAGATTACCTCCTGTGCTTCTGGCAGCGGCCTCGTGAGATCGACATTCTCACTCTCGTCTCAGGACAAGACCACTCACTCATCGTGAGAACTCACCTTGAAAGGTGCTTTGCCGAGGTCACACAGCCAAGAGGCGGTGGGCCTGTGGTTTTAACCCAGTGTCTCTGGCACCCCCCTCGGTGCCTCCTGGGAAGGGGAAGAGGGTGGAGAGGACAGGAGCCAGCCCTGACGCCTTGTGCTTTTGTGGTGGTTTCCTCCAATGCCCGCAAAGATGCCTGTGCCTCCACAGGCCCACATTTCGGCCACTGTGAGTCTGTCAGGATGGCAAGGATACCCCAGGCTCTGGCATTCTTGGGGAACCATCATCTTGGCACCCCTCTGAAGAGGAGAAGCATCCAGGCTGTGCCTGCCTTCTCTCTCACCTCTTCCACCCTAGTCCTCCTCTCAGCTTCCCCAGTCAGGGGTTCAAGGGCCACGGGCATTCTGGCAGTGGGCAGGGATAGCTGAAGGGCACAGCAGGCTGTGCTGCCTTTCTGAGTGGGGGCTTCCCCTGCTCCCACTCTGAGAAAGAGGACCCAGATTGGGAGCTGCAGGAACCTGGGGAATCGGGGTACAGGGGACTGGGTCACCAGGCTTGTTTATCTGCCATGCCAGGGGCCGCCTTTGGCTCTTCGGAGGGCACCCTGGCAGCCAAGGTAGGGTGCCCGAGACAGAGTGGCATCTGGGCCTTCCTGAGGGGAGATGAGCTGGGATCACTTCAGATGGCCTTTGAGAACCAGGCCTTCCTTGGAAGCCAGTCCTCAGTACCTGCTCTGGGCCTGGCCCTCAGCTAGACATTGTGAGAGCAACAAATGTAGACAGGCCTCCCCATGGCCTGGGGTAGGGGGAGGCTTCTGGCCAGAAAGGGAGAGTCTGACCCTCAGCATCTGTGGTGCGGGGAGCCATGCTGACAGAGAACAGGGACAGAAGGCCCGTGAGGGGCAGGGGAGCCACAGGAGGCTTTCTAGACTGAGGAGGGTCTGGGGATGGGGGGCTGAGGTAGAGGGAGAAGTACAGCGAGAACATTGTGGATGGTCCCTGCTTGGGCTCTGTTCTTGGGCCTGAACTCTGAGCCCCAAAGCCAGCCTGGCAAGAGGCACCCTCTTCCTCCTTGCCAGCCCCCCTCGTCACTGGGGCCTGGCCCTCTCTTGCCTTCCAGAGGCCTGGAGAAGGATGGCAGCCTCGGCGAGGGCGTCATGCTGAAGAAGCAGAGTGGCCTACACCTGACTCTGCCGGATGCCCACGATGCAGACTCCGGTAAGAAGGTGCCCATGGGCAGCTGCCCACATGGGCCCACGGCTCCCCCTCCCTGCCGGGGCACCAACGGGAGCGTGGCCCCTTCCCGGGCTGCTCCTTGTGGCCGCTGCCCAAGGGCCTGTGCTAAGGAGCTGCCATCCGGGTCTTTCAGGGCCCGTTGTGGCTCTGGGGCAGGATGGCTGCTAGGCCCAGGGTGGGAAGTGGACAGCTGAAGTGGGCCAGGGAGAGCCCCTACCTCCTGGCTGGAGGCAAAGGGAAAGGGACTGCCGGGGTGAATGACAGCTGTGGAGCACAGAGGCTACAGCCTGAGGTCAAGGCCCGCCATCCTAGCGTCCCTCAGTTGGAAGGAATGAGCTGGGCTTATATTTATAACTCTAAGCCCAAAGCTGACTTTTAACTGAGGACCTGAATAAAGCAGCATGCATTCCTCAAAGACACAAGAATTAGTCACAGGAATGGAAGTGTGGGGGAGTCGGGTTTAATGGCCTTGCTCATTTTTTCCACGTCCGCGGCCATGAACCAAGTCGCGCCTTGGTTGTAAAGCGACGGCGTTGGTTTCCAGTGCCAGGCCCAGCACCTGGCCCGACAGGTGCACCGGAGGAGTGCGGTGCAGGCAGAGCTGCTGGCTCCCAGGAGAGGACCGTACAGGAGGGCAGCGCGCTCTTGAATGAAAGAGGGAGGAGCCACAAACAAATTATTAGGATTCCTTGTGCATTGGTCTTACAAACAGACACCGGCTGTGGTTTGCCCTGAGGTCTTCTGAGTTGATGGGAGCTTTTATTGCCTCGGAGAGAGAGAAGGTGCTTTCATTTCGCCTGCATGTGAGTTGTAAATGCCAGCAGCTCATATGTCCTGACCAACCGGGACGTCCCCGACCCCGGACCCAGAACTGCCCCAGGAAGAGTTCTGCAGAGGGCACGGGGTCTGATCTGAGCTGCTACCCCAATGTCCTTCACAGCCTAACCTCATTTTTTGTGTAGGAAGTAATCATAGGCTCTTGTGAAAACAGTAAAAATAGAAAAAGGAAGAAAAATCACCCGTAATTTTACCACCCAGTCCTTAATAAAGTTCTTAGTTCACTTTTTCCTATGACCATATTCCTTTTTTACAAAAACCCGGTCATTCTTTCTCTCTCCTATCTGTAGAATCTGGACATCTTTCCACATCGATGTCCATATCTGTGCATTACTATTTGAATGACTGCATAGTCTTGCATGATTACACCCTCACTTGTTTTTTGTTTTATATTTTTGGCTTATTTTTGTTGTTAATCCTCACCCAATTATATTTTTCCCATTAATTTTTAGAGACTGGAAGGAAGGAGGAGAGAGAGAAACATTGATGTGAGAGAGACACATCAATTGGTTGCCTCCTAGATATGCTCTGACCAGGGCTGGGGATCGAGCCTGCAACCAAGATAATGCCCTTGACGGGAACAGAACCTTGGATCCTTCAGTCTGTGGGCCAGTGCTCTAGCCACTGAGCCAAACCAGCCAAGGCCCTCACTTGTTTTTAATCAGTCCCTGTTGTTGGACATTTGGTCGTTGCGGTCAGTGATTGTGTTACTTGGGGATAGACTCCTCGAAGTGGGCCACCTGATTGCCCCTCTGAAGTTCCTCTCCACAGCTCTGGGTCAGGGATGAGGTGGGTGGGCCCTAACTGGTGGCTCTGTGAGCTATTTGCCCTGATTCGGTGGCCCTGTCTCTCTCTGGGGGCCTGGGGTGTGTGGCCCTCTGACTCTGCTGCTCAGCCTCTCCCCCTCTTGCTCTGCAGGCTCTCGGCGGGCATCGTCCATCGCAGCCTCGCGGCTAGAGGAGGCCATGTCGGAGCTGACTATGCACAGCTCTGTTTTGAAACAGGGCCCCATGCAGCTGTGGACCACGCTGGAGCAGATCTGGCTCCAGGCTGGTGAGTGTCTCTCCCCCCCACCCACCCCTGGTGACAACTACCCACCTCCCGACAGGCCACCAGGCCCTCAGCTGTATCCTGCCCTGAAGAAGGGAATACAGGGGGTAGGGACCGCTGACAAGCTCACATGGGCTTGGCCCAGAAGAAGTCACTTCATCTGTCTGATCATGAGTTTCCTCCCCAAATGGGGACAGCGCCTGCCTATCTGGGAGAGGCTCTCTGGCAGCAAAAACAATGGGAGAGGACTGGAGGAAGGGCCACACAGGATAGTTTTAGACTCAACAGCAGGCCCCATCCCTTCTTCTGGTTAGGCTCAGGCCCCCAGAGCTCACGGAATAGCCAGAGAAGAAGGGGTGAGGTGTGGCGGCCCCCAGGAAGGGCAGGTCTGGTGAAAAGTTCATTGAAGGCCGAGGGCTGGTTAACAGCTGGTTCACAGTAGGGTTGCCATTCAGGAGACAATCCCTCTTGACAGCTCATCGGCACTATTGCCACCGTGGAGCGTGAAGGTCAGTGTTGGGGGGGAAGAGTTGCAAAGAGCTGGGTTCTAATGCCAGCTCAGTCCTGCCTGTCCTGGGTAAGGCAGTTAGCGCAGTAGGTGCTCAGTAAATGGTAGCACACAGTAGGTGCTCAGTAAATGGTGTCTGACTTCTGTCTCACCCGAGGTAGCTGTGGACCTAGAGACAGCATGGCGCCCCCAACAGTGAGTGTCCTTGGTGCCGAGGAGTGACTCACTGGACTGACTGAAAATTTAATCAGACGGTGGTGTGAAAAGTGGATTAGAGTAAAAAGAGAGGGCCAAGGCCGGAGATGTGCCTGAGATAAAATGGCAGCAGCCACAGAATAGAGAAGAAGGGGATAGAGTAAGTGGAATCCTAAAAATGAGCCAGGCCCACCCACATGCTGCCTCCTTGTTTGAGATCTGCCCAAGTGAAGCTCCTCACCTTTCCCCCCATTACCTTCCTACCTGCCCCCTCTCTACCCAGGAGGTGGTGCTGGTAGCCCCCAAGGGAGGATGGAAAAGAGACCCAAAGTAGATAATCAGTCCTGGGATGAGTGGGTTTTGCAAGTTAGAGTTAGACCATGCCTAACTGGGAATCTAAGGTTTCCTGCTGCACGGAGTTCACATATGGACACATTAGTATGCAGGACGCCCCCACTCTCCCTACCGCAGGTTCTGAATCTGGGGGGGAAAGTTGGACCAGGATTCGCAGAAAGACAAGGAAGCATTTTAATAATGCAAATATTGTCCCAGTTACTATATCAGGGTCCGCCAGGATGCTAGGGATGTGAAGGGGCTGTGCTCCAGGGTCAGCTATTTATTTGCATTTCAAGTAGGACAAAGAGTGCTGAAAAACAAAGGGGAATCATAGACAGGGCCTTCTTTTAAGTAAATATTGCCCGGTTTTCTTCTAAGAAAGAAGGGGCTGTGGCGGGGTACGCTGGGGGCCTCATCCACTCAGAGGACCCCGTCAGTAACACCGTGACCCATTCCAGGGGCTCCCGCGACCTTTCGTTTTAATGAGGTGTCTTGTTTACAGCCATCAGCAAACGAACATATGTTTGCATCTTACAAGCCTACTTGCATGTCGCAGATATGCTGCTTTATGCTAGGGGTCCCAGAATGTTCTGGTAACTCCGAGGAAGGTTAAAAGCGTTCCTGAAGCCTATCATTGAATGTGGGGATATCGCTATGGACACATGCTCTTCAATAGTTGGCACATTAGCCTTCCTTTCCTGGGCATTATCCTAGACATTTAGCCCGCAGTGAACTCTGAGAACAAAGTCTGAGCACTCTGAACGCGGTGCCTGGGAGGGCGGGCAATGTGGCATTTAGGAGACGGGTCTGGGTACGTGTGACCAATGCGGTGGCTTCCGCAGGGTGAATGCTTCATTTTCTCACGCAGCAGCTCAGGGATGCAGCCTTGTCTGGGATGACAGCTCTTATTGAATGTGGATGTGGTGGTGAGCCATGTGGGATCACAGGAATAAGAGTGACTCTCCCTGAGTCATTCTTATTCCTGTGATCCCACATGGCTCACCACCACATCCACATTCAAGGCATAACTGGGAAGAGAGGGAGAAGGGGACAGCCCCTTCCTTAAGGACATATGCTGGAATTTGCACACATCATTTCCCGTTACAACCCCATTGGTCAGGACTTGGTCACATGACCACACATCTAGCTGCAAAGCACTGTGGGAAATGTCATTATTCATATGCCCCATTAAAAAAACGGGGGATCTGTCACTACAAAAGATAGGGGGACTAGACTGGTGGACAGCTGCCACAGCCAGAGGGGAAATGAGAACTTGTCCTAGATCTTCCATTCTGCACATGAGAGAATTCTGAAGCTATCTGCATCCCATGAGCCCTCTCCCCTCCCCTGGCCTGGACCGTCATTGCCAGCAAGCATGTGCTGGCAATGGATGAAGGGCTGCCAAGAGCAGATCACCACGGCAGCAACTTCTCCCTAACTACTGCCCTTCCCTTCACCTGACCCGACCTAAGAGAATTGACCTCGGCACCACCACCTAATGATTCCACCAGCTGCAGCAATTTTGCAGGAAGGGAAAATAACTCCCTTTATCATTTTGGACTGAGCTAATCTCCCTGGTTTGGTTCAAGATAAACTGCATCCCAGTCTGTGCTGGCAGTAAGTTCTATCATTAAGCCTCCTCTTAGGTTGGGAAATGCTGTGTCCTTCCTCTCCCTATTCTGATTGTCCTCCCCTCCCCTGTCCCCCTGTCCTTCCCATTCCAGTCTGATGTGAGAAGGGTCTCCACTTGAGAGGTGAGTTTCAGGAACGTTGCCTCTGACAGCAGGTCTGAGTGAGAATGGGAGAAGCACCAGCCCCATAGATGCTCCAGGATCCTGCGTGGACCTGGCGGTGCTTTCAGGAGAGCAAGATGGCCCACCCCCCTCTCACAACTGCTCAGTCTCGGGAGCTGACTGTGCTGGAGAGAGGCAGAGGGGTGGAGGGAGAGTGCCCTTGCCGGGAGGCCCAGGGGCTCACAGATGGGGGAAGTTGGCCAAACAGCCAATTCACATTGCCGGGCCCTGCAGGTGGAAACTGCCCCTGCTGGTAGCTGGGCAACTCGAGTGGGGCAGCCAGGGCTGTGTCTAAAGGCCATATTTGTTATAAAAGGATAGTCAAGCAAGAAGCTGTCTTACCCTTGAAATCCCGCATTGCCTCATTTCTCCTCATGCCTTTCCTTATCTTCTTCCACTTTCTCCTCTTTTTCCACCACCCCCTCCCTCCTGCCTTCTGTGCCTTCATCCCGAGTCCTCTCTTCCCTTGTTCCATTTTTTTCTCCTCCCCCCCCCCCCCACCGTCTGTCATTCACTCCTTGCAGGGTCCTGGGTTAGTGAGGAGAGTGCTCTTGGAACCGGGAGTCAGGGTCGAGGGACAGGAAGTCGGGAGCCCAGGCCCACGCCGTCTTCATTCCGTTGTGGCTGAGGCACATCGTGTCTGTCTCCAGGTCCTAGGGGAGGCGGGTCTCAGACCAACCCAAAACCCCTTTAGACCTGTGGATTGTCTGCTATCTCCAGGGCCTTCTCGCCTCTGGCACCTTTGGTCCTCTCTTCCATCTCTCCCTCATCCTCCCCCAACCTTCCCCCTTTATTCTGGATGTTGATATGTCATGTGGCTGCTCCTTGGGGAGGATGCTTATTGCCTTCACGGCAGTTTTGGTGACTCTCCTGGGGCTAAGGTGGATTCTTTTTAGGCCCTAACTTTTACTTCTTTCCTGCGTTGGGGGGGCGCTTCTGTCCTTTCTGAGCTTTCTCAGAGGGTCTCTATCTCTCTTGAGAATGTTCCTAAAAGACTAAGGCGAGGTCCTGGGCCCTCCCGCCCTCACCCAGCTCCTCAGCTCATGACCAGGATGTGCAAAGAGTCCATCCCCCAGCCTCGGGGGAAGAGGCCTCGGCGTTGGCAGGAATGGCAGGAAGCCTGAAGCCAGCTCTGGGTGCAGGGTTAGCAGGATGCCTTAGAAAAAATAATAAAAGGGACTGCTGCAAAGCTCCAGGGAACAGATGTTTTCCATTTGGAGTCTGCCAAGAGAAAGCACAGAGGGGGGCGGGTGGAGGGCGATGGAGGGAAGAGGAAGAAAAGCCAAGGCCGACAGGCAAGGCAGCAAGTCAAAAGCAGGCAGAGAGGGAGGTGGGAGAAGTGAGAACACCAGAGTAAGGAGAGAGAAGGAACTGGGAGGATCGGAAAGGGCCCTCTGACGCTGAGGGCCCCTGCTTCCTGGGGTGATGACACAACTATGAGAATCAAGGAAAGTTCAGTACCAGTAAGTGCTCATCTGGCGCTGGCCAGGGGAGGCTGGGGTGCGTGGCTCGGGGCCCTGGCAGCCAGGGCCTGATGATAGAGGATCAGGGCAAGGTTGGGCACAATGCTATGTGACTGCCTCCTTGGTAAAACTGCCCAGGGACAGTGTAGGACAAAGGGGTACACTGCAGCCCCCAGACCTGTGAGCCTGTGCGCAGGTCAGAGGCTTCACCCTGGAGGCTGGGCCTGCCAGAGGCTGTCTGCAAGGCCCCCAGCAGCCCTCAGGAGACCTGGCTTCTCTGGCTCTGCTCTGTCATCTGGTTTCCTGCCTGGCTGGTAAGGAAGTCCATCAGATCAAAGCAGCCCTACCTACGTCTAGGGCATGCTTTCTGGTGTACGGACAGCCTGGCGAGGCCCAGGGCCCCAAGGAAGAAAGGAGGTGTGGGGATCCTGTAATTGAAATCTGTTGATGTCAAGACACCGAGGACTCCCCCCCGAGGGAGGGATCAGGGACCGCCTCCAGAGATGAAGCTCAGGAGACAGGGTGGCAAGTTGTAAACAGCTTAATGAGCCGTGCCAGGACCAGGTGGCCAGGTGGGCCAGGCCTGGCGGGCCTGCCGGAGCGAGGTCTCGGGGAGCGGGGGGCAGGGAGCTCTGAGCTGAGCTCCTGGCCAGGGAGGAAGCCACTCTGTGAGCTGGTGCAGGAAGGCCGCCCACCCCCAGCACGCACACTACACACTTCCTCCTGCTTCTGCTCTTTGTGATCCCGGGGCCTTCTGCCACAGGGGAGCTGGCCCTCCAGGTTCGCACCGCCCCCCTTCGCCTCTCTGCCAGTCCAAGTGCCCCGGGCCTTCAGGCCTTAGCTCAAATGCGGCCACCGCCAGGAAGACTCCCCTGCCCCCACCGGCACAGCTGGCCTGACCCCTTCTGCGGCCCTAGAACACTCAACGTTGGCCCTTGTCACCCCACTGCCCGGCTCACTCCCGTGGTTTGGTGGCTTCACCCCTTCTCCTTGTGGGAGGGCCAGGCGCACCGCCCTGTTGCACACTGGACACTTCGCGAGGGAGGCAGCCTGCTCAGAGCTCCAGGCAGCAGCCCCAGAAGGGAACACAGCGGCCGAGCCGAGGAGAGCCGAGGCTGAGAGAGCCAAACCCCTGGCCGCTGGGCCAGCCCTTCCCGGGCTCACCTCCCCATGTTTTCTGTCTTCTTGGGGAATCTCCCGTTCAGGGAACAAGAGCCTGCAGCTCTCTTTCTAGCCTTGTCATGGGAGCCTGGCTCCTGAGTTTAATTCACTCTCTCCTTCTCCCAGGTTCTCATCTCCCCTGAAGAAAGAGAGCGCCTTGCTGAGAGAGCCCTGGGTAGTGTTTTAGGAAGTGGCAAGCAACGCGATTACACAATGAGCCTCAGGCAGCATCCTTCCTCAGCACCCAAGTGCTGTGTGCTGCAGTCCCTGGCCTTCGCTAGGCCTCCTTCCTGCTTCTCGTCGTAGCAGGAAGATGGGGTGCCGGAGCCCGGGTTCTCTGCCTCTTTCTGGGACCTTCCTTTGGGATGTCTGTTATCCAACCCATCCCAGCCCTAAACTGAACTTGTGTAACCTCAGCCCCCAGCCTTTGCTGGGAACAGCCAGGCTCTGCCTCCCTTCTGTGCTCCCATCTGTGCGCCGGCACCAGCCTCAGGAAGGGGCAGCCGGGTCCGGGACAGAGAGCTGTGATGCCAAAAGCACCTGCTGTGGGTGTGTGCAGCGCCTGGAGGGTTTGAAATGTGCGTTTATGTGGGCTGGACAGGGATTGAAGAAACGGCCCCGTTTTCCACTGATCTGGGGACGAAGGCAAAGTGGTTGTGGGGCAGACTGTGCGTGTATGTTCTGTTCTTCCCCGTGTGGAAGGAAGTCCCCAGAGGGAGGCCAGGAGCTGCTGGGGCCCCAGCCCTGCCTGGCCCCTTCCCACTGAGGGATGGGAGTGAGGTCCTCTCTCTCAGCCTACTTTGTTACCGTGGGGCTCCTGAGAGCACCGCCTCCCTCCCAGACTTGTGAGGATTCATGAGAGGCGATGCTCGCACAGTCGGGCCTTGGCCCACAGTCAGTTCTCCGTCCGCGCCGGCTGCTCGGTAGCTGTTACTCCCCTGGGTGGAGCCCAGCTCTGCCCCTTCACAGGGCTCCCTGGGCCTCTCTCCTCCTCGCCTGCCCAGCCCCGCCTTGGTGAGCACTGTCAGCCTCCCTCCCCAGAGACTGAGAGTGGGAACAGAGCCACCATTTCTGCTTCCACCCCCGGCCCCGGACAAGGAACAAGTGCGAAAGGCCCCGAAACAGTCAGTCACCTGAGCCACCGCTGATCTCCAGGAGATGTCCCTGTGCCCTTGTGGGCTCTGAAACCCATGGCCCGATGCAAACCCTGGCTCCCAACGTACGCTCCCTGCAGCCTCAGGCGCGTTCCCTACCCTCTCTGTGCCTCAGTTTCCTCCTCCCTCAAGCGGGGCGATAGAAGGGCCTGCTCCACAGGGCTTTGTGGGCACGGGCTGAGAGGGTCTCCGTGGGGCACGGAGCACAGTGCCTGGCACGGTGAGCACACAGAGTGAGTCTGTCCTGTGCCGGCTCTTGGGGATGGTTCCCGTCGCCTGAGACACAGGCTCCCGCAGAGGGGCCGTTGCCTCCGGCTTTCCCGCACCCTCACCTCCCACTGTCCTTCTGGTTCCGCAGCTGAGCTGTTCATGGAGCAGCAGCACCTCAAGGAGGCCGGTTTCTGCATCCAGGAGGCCGCGGGCCTCTTCCCCACCTCGCACTCGGTACTGTACATGCGGGGCCGGCTGGCCGAGATGAAGGGCAGCCTGGAGGAGGCCAAGCAGCTGTACAAGGAGGCCCTCACGGTGAACCCCGACGGCGTGCGCATCATGCACAGCCTGGTGAGTCAGCCCCGCACGCCTGCAGAAGGCCTCGGGGCACCCCTCTCCCCTCGCCCCCTCCCCGCCTGCCAGGGCCTCGCTGCCCTGTTCCCTGGTGTCTGCGGGGAGGTGGCTTCCTGGCTGCTCCTTCCTTCAGGGCCAGGGCATGTCCCTTCGGTCAGAGCCTGCCGGAGCGGATGAAAGAATCCGGGAGGAGCGGGGGGCATATCTGTGACTTTTTGCTGTAAGTTTCCATAGGGCAGTCTAGCCCCAAGGGGCTTTCACTGTTACACATCAGATCCTCGCCCAGATCCCGGAGAAAATGCTCTTCTCTGGGATGGGGGGTCTTTCGGCCTCCCTGACCATTGGGCTGCCTTCCCCATTTCAGAGGGGGTCCTCGGCAGGATTTAGCAGATATCCCAGGATAGGCTGTCATTGAAAATGACCCCTGGGACTCCCCCGTCTCAGGTCATGGGGCTCAGAACTTGGGTGCCCAGGGCTCAGTGGCCTTCCTGTGGGAGGCTCGGAGACTTGGGGCGGAATGCTGGTGCTCAGGCCCAGGCCTTGCCGTCTCTCTGGGTGATCCTGGGCAGGTCGGCCACCTTCTCTGTACCTCGTTTTTACTTACCTATGCAGTGGGGTTCTCTAACAGATAGTACCATGGACCCTAGGTGTAACTTCTTTCCCCTGCCTTCCTTAGCTGCTTCCAGAGAGCGGGTATCAGGATAAATGAGGCAATCTGAAAGCGTGCAGGCCTGCATAGGCACAGTGATTTTTAAAGTATGATTTAGGAGCCCACCGTTGGCAACAGAGACTTCCTGTCCCCTTTGAGAGCTCTGAGAACAGCCTCGAGAGGCCCGCTAACGTCTGCCTCATGGAAAACATCGAAGGACTGGGGGAATGGCTGCAGGGGCTGCAGGGCCAGCATTGCCAGACGAGGTTGACTGGCCGCGAGCAGAAGCTACAGGGAGTTAGACTCCAGCTCAGTGTCAGGAAAAACTGTATAACTCTTTATAAAAAAAAAAAAAGTCCATGCATGAACTTGGGAGTCTTCAGGTGAGGATGTAGTAGCCAAGAGAACAGAAGCATCACAAAGGGGTAGGAGCTGGACCAGGTCATCTTTACAAGGTCCTTTCCAACCCCGAGAGCCCTTGAAAGCAGATCAGAACGGAGATTTCCCGCCTCCCAATTTCTTAAAGGCTTCCTAGCCGAGGCCCAACACCAATGCCCGTGTCCCTTGAACAAAGCCTGCACGGTGACATCACTCCCTCGCCCATGTCCCCTCCACATGGCTCCGTGCTGCCGCCCAGTCTGCTCAGCAAATGTTTGTTTTTTGCCAGGCACATCCTCCTTCCACCCACAGCTCAGACATGAGCTCCTCTGATGAATGCCTCCCCGGAGGTCACATCCAGAAACTTGATTAGGGCGGTGGGAGGGAGGGAGGGAGGATGTGGGCTCTGTCATTAGGCCGGCAGCCAGGCAGCGATGTCTGCTTGCCTCTGTGCTCGCGGATATGAGCCTGCCGTTCAGATCCTGAAGCCCGACGAAATCCAATAACAAGTACAATTTTGAAGTAGCAGCGTGCCATTTTTCATTTATGCTTATTATTGTTTGTAGCTGTTTCCCTGAAATGGAAGCAGTTTCCAAGGGTGAGTTTCCATGGTAACAGGAGAGCTATCTAGAAGTGGCTCCCTGAAACGGTCCCTCTTCTCTTCCCGGGGTGCCTGGCTGTGGTGATGAAATTGGGGCGAGTTGGAGGCAGGCCTGCCACGTTTAAAGTTACCAGCAGCCAGAGGGGCCGTCTGCTCCAGCGTGGGCAGACCATCCCCTTCCACACGCTCCGTTCCTGCCAGCACCCGTTGCATATGCATACACAATAGCAAATTTCAAGCCCGGGGAAGATTTACCAAGCGCTCTTTTCCCAGAGACACACGAACACTTTGGCATTCCCCAAGCTAGTGTCTCCTTGGTACTGACCTCAGACTCAGGACATGGGGTCTCAGCCTGAGACTGGCCCTGATTCCTGTGGATGGCTTAGAAAAAGGCTCATTTGATGTCAGTGCTCCTGATGTCTCCCTTCGTAAATGAATAATGATCTGCATCATCCCTAGACCCATGTTCTAATCAAAAGAAGCATCGCATGTGAAAGTGCTTCTAAAAGTCCACAATGCATATCAGAGAAGACAAAACAGCCTCTATGCCACCACTCCAGTCCTTCCCCCATGACAGACATTACCAATCAATCACCCTTTCCCCCCCCCCCGTGACAGACATTACCCATCAATCGCAGCACTTTTCCCACCACTGAGCACAGATGTGACATTGGGATATTTTCTCCATGTCACACCATGACAGCAGCCACTACTAGTTGGCCTAAGTCAGCTTGTCATGTATCTAAGGGAGTTACTGTCAAAACAGTTGGTAGAGAATGAGAGCACACCTCCATTATCTGAGCCTTTGTGAACTCCAGGGGTGGATACATCCTGGAGAAGTATCCAGAGAAAAGAGCATGGGAGGGAACTGGTGCTCCCTCTATCCATTCCCCACCCCCCCCACACACACACATATACATACATACCCCACATACCCCACATGGAGTCATTGAAAAGACAGGTTTCCCAGGGAGGGCATGGTAAAGCCAGGATTAAGGACATCCTGGCCTTAACCATGCCATTGTGGCTTTGTGAGGACACTGGCCCCTGAGAGCATGGCCACAGCCTGGGCTGGAGGAGCTCTGGGTCCCTCATGAGCCCTCTGAGGTCATGGTTGAGACCCACTCCCTGAGGCCTGGAGAGAGAAAGGTGAGGATACACTCGGTGAGCCTTGCGAGGTCAGGTCTGGCTCTGCAGTTCTTAGCACAGGATCACCAAACAGGAGGAGGCCAGCCTCCAGGCCTCCCTGGGGCCTCTCCCTGGGGCAGGCTGGAGAAAGCCTTCAGGAGCCAGGGTTCAGGCATTTCTAAGAATATGAACGTGGGCCCGGATGCAGGTTCTCTCCCCATCCTGCTGCCCTCCTGCCCTGAATGTGGCAGAGACCTTTCCATGGTCTGGCTCCGCTCAGGCTTTTCAGGTCAGGCAGGAAAGAGGCACCTCCTTGGCCGTGCCCACAGCAGAGTCCCAGAGGAGCCTGTGTCCTCCAGCCCTGGTCCTGCAGCTGCCACCTGTGCCAGACACACGGAGGCCAGGCTGCTTCGAGAGAGTGCCAGAGCACAAGCAGAAAGGGGCATGCTCTCTGCAGACAGACATTCCCAGTGAACTCTGGTTGGCAGCAGGTCCGACAGTTTCTGCCCACTGGGCCCCAGCCTCCCCTCCAGGTAGCAGGAAACCCCGCCCACTCGCCCTGATGTGCAGAAGTTCATTTACTGGCAGAAGAGTCTAGTTAAGAAGGCAGAGCCTGAACTTCACCTGCCTGGCCCTGAGGAGACATGAGACAGAAGGCAGGGTCCTTCCCAAGATCAGCAGAGGAGTTGGCCCCTGGGTGCTTTCCAGAGAGAGCTGGCAGGGGTCTCAGGCAGAGAAGGATTCCCAGGCACCCTGCACCTATCTCTTAGAGCCTGTCTCTGCCCTGCCCCTTCCAGGAGCCCCTCTGTATCGCCAAGAGAGCAGGGTGCTTGGGGGTGGCAGAGAGCCCACGTGTGGCTGATGGACTGGCCACGTCAATGAGAGCCCCCCCCCCCCCCAAAGAGGGGTTGCATTGAAGTCACCTGACCTTAATGAGAAGAGAGTCCCTAGCCCTGGCTACCGACCAACTCACTCTCTCTGCCTTCCCCTTGACTGAGTGGGAGTATGGATACTTCGATGCAGCCTGTTTCACTACAGAGAAAGCCTCAGCCATCAGTGGGCAGATATGGGTGCACTTCTGCCACCTGCATTTGTGGGTGGCACCCCACCCTTCTCTTCCAGGGGCACACTCTTAGGGAGGGGTTTCCTGCCCCTCAGTGGCCTCTGTTCCCAGCCATGCTTTCTTCTTGGGACAGAGCTCCAGGTTCCTGCTGCCCCATATCCTCAGAGCCCTCTCCCTCAGGACCCCCAGCAGCAGGAAGATTGCTCTGGGTGAGCTTCAGCTGTGACGGAATCCCCAGAGATGTCATTTCTGAAGCAGTCATGGCCACGTGACTCCCTCCAGATGCCCCTGGAAGGACGGGTAGACAGCGTTTCTGCATCCACTGCCCTCTTTTGAGAGAGCATGGCCGCGAATGAGTCCCTGCATTGGTTCCCTCATGCTCCCAGCATGAGGCTGCTGTCTTGTTCTTGAAGTGAGCTGAGGTGGATCAAGGGCATGGCCAGCCCCAGATGACCCAGAGCCTCTTGCCCGCCTCTCCCCAGACTAGGGCATGCTGCAGCACACGCCAGGTCTCCAGAACCCCACAGCACATCCCTGGCCTCCCCCAAAGTGAGTTCTGAGTTAGTGAGGCCCAGGGCTCTGTCTCACCAGCCCTGAGGTTCTGGGCAGGCGTTTGCAGGTGCTCCAGGATCCAACAGGAAGTCTCTGCTCTCTAGGGCCTAAGAGGCGAACTGTGGCTACACAGAGCTCCCCCGCACCCCGTTACCCTGCCCTGGCTGGGCCATCCCGTCCTGGAGGCAGGACCAGACAGTAGAGGTGACTCATCTAAGTCAGACACCAACCTGCCAGCCCTCCAGCTATGGGGGCACAGAGATTTCTTCCCGTCATCGGCTTAGTTTTCTATCAAATGAAGAAAATAATGCAAGCCCTTGTGAGCTCAAGGAGATAGTTTTAGGGCTCAAATGAGTTGAGACCCATGGAAAGAGAAGTTAACCTCAGGCGTTATTTTTCACCATTTGCACGGAAGACTTGTGGCCTGAGCCAACCTTTGACAGGCTGCTATGGGATGAGGGTCATTGGCCCAAATTTGCTTGCTCTGCCAGGTGGCCCATAGTGTCATCAGAGTGCTAAAGAATCAGGGAGGGGGTGCTGGGCAGGTGAGGGTGGCTCCCCTGGCGCTGGGTTTCAGAAAGCCTTGGGCTTGTTCGCGAGCTGAAGTGCACGCCAGCCCCGTCGAC